GGGTGGTTTAATCTTTAGGTGAAATAAGCTGGGGCGATGATTCTTCGGGTAATCCCAGATTATATATACTTTATCACTCTACGAACGTTGCAGAGTGTATTTCTTATGTTTACCCAGAACCGACAAAAAAAATACCTAACCGACAACCGGATAAACATCCACAGCCTAAATATTATGTACAGGGAGTATACAAATTCTTCCAGTCTAAGTTACATACTGCTTCCATTATTGTGAATTTTGCTTTGAATAGGTAATTTTTCGGGTTCATTAAGAGTCCTACACTATAACTAATATAAAAAATGGTAATTTGTGAGGAAATTATCACCACCAGGGAACGTTAATAGAATTCTTTGTTTTTCTCGTTGTTTTGGTCATTGTAAGTAGTTTAGAAGGAAACAACTTTATATTTCAACTTTAAAATATATTATTATTTTTTAGTTTCTCTATGATCATAAATCGGCTGTAGTGGGCAAGGCTTGAAGGATGAGGGAAATTGAGGGGTAAAACACGGTGAAAAACTGATTATATGACACTAAAATGGTGTCTCTACACACTTTGTACGTCAAGAAATTAATTATATAATGTAAATAAATACTCCTCCGAAAAATCTGCCGTTGTCGTCTGCTCTGTTTACAACCGACCTACTCAATTCGAGCTTCCATTCACCATGACCTCAAGGAAGTTCGTTTCATTGGTACCAGATATAAAAAAATCAGTACTTCTCATTAATATGGTGGTGTCTCGGGGGCAGGATGTTAGGTAAAGTTACGTACTGTAGGTGTCTTTGGTTAGATCAGGTTATAGGTTTTAGTAAATGTTGCCTCTTAAAATACTTACTATAATGATAAGAACATATGTGGGGTAGTGCTGTTCTCATACATTACCCCCAAAATTCAGTTATTAATTATTTTATTCATTTAAATAATTTTAACAGACAACATAATAACGTATAAAATGACGGAGTTTATCTCCTTGCAGGTATTTATTTTTCCATACAACATCAACGTAACTTAAATTTCCATTTGATGACGGAATAAATATCTCAATAACTACTTGCTGGGTAGACAAAATACCCTGACGGTGGTTGACCAACTCTCTAATATCATAATAACTTGGTGTAATTTAATCAACATGCATTAAAATAATTGAATATAACAATAAAAATACGGCAATTTATGATGAACCGCTACCACCAGAAGTTGTTCCATTTCTTTTATATTTTCCACGGATGTTTTTTCATGTTGTTTTTTAAGAGGCGACAATTTTTTTTTTAATCATAGGTATTTTTTTTCTCTATCTACGATCATAAATCACCTGAAGGACGAGGGAAATTGTAGGGTAAAACACGGTGGAAAACTAATCATGACACTAAAATTACATTTCTATGAAGGAATTAAATATTCACCGTAAACACTCCTTCGAAAATCTGCTAAGTCACTGTGTCGTCTGGTCTGTGTAGTCACGTCCACAAAAACAAAACTAAATTACACCATACTTTCATTAATACCAGATATCAAAATAAGTACATTCTGTTTAATATGGCGGGTGGTAAGGTTAGGTAGGTTTCTTAGGTCAGGTTCGATTAGGTCCTAGTAAATGTCCTCTATTAAAATACTTGCTATAGTGAAAACATCTGTGGAAAAAGTGAACAAAATCGATCAACTCCTTCTGGTGGTAGATGTGTACTCATACATTACTAAAAATACTAACATTTTACTCACCACAGAGGAGTCAGTCGTCACGCTACCTTCCTTCACTGTGTCACTCAGGCAAATGGTTAATTATAACAATACGGCTTAAATTTAAACACTTAAGGAAAAATTATCTCATGCGAACATTTATGAATCCACCTTTTGAATCGCTTAGATGAAATTTCTCAACAAGGAACCTTTCAAATTCCAGGCCGTTAATGAATCTCTTGAGAATCTTTGGCACTTCAGTATCGGACATTATTGACGCCAAGAAATATAAAGGAACTACTCCCGCATATCACTGGTGCAGATGCCTTGGAGTATGTCCCACTAAATGTGTTTTACTTTCAGCAGATTGCGCTGATCAGACTGAATTTTTTGCTGCATGTCAAATGAGAAGTATTCCAATACTAAACAGTACGAAGGATAAAAAAATTGTAAGTTATTAGGGTAATATGTCGATACTCTCAGTATATATGTCACGGTGAGGTAGGGATTACCTTATTTAGTTTGAGATAATTATCCCCAACACACCACCACCACAATAAAATTATTCACCTCCACATCACCTCAAAACTCACCCCGACACACATGAAGAAAGAAAGTGGTATTAAGACTAGTGGGATATCAGTGTTTTGTGGTAACATACAACTAGAGGGATATCAGGTCTTGGCAATACAACTCGTGGGATATCAGTGTTGTGGTAATACAAGTAGTAGGTTACCAGAGCATTCCATCAATAAGTCACACTATCTCATAAGGACGCAACAGGTACCGTACAGTATGTCCTCTGGTGCACTGGCTACACAGCACAGCACTTGGGTAATTATTCGTTTAGAACATAACATGGACTAGGGCATTAATGCTGGCTTTTCTGGTGTATTTCATTGTGTTTTGTTGGATTCAAACCTTCATTTTAAGGCCCATGTACTGAAATTAATAATAACCCAGCATTGAATGTGGTTAATTTAGTTAATATTAACTGAAAAATTTTTCTTTGGGAAAACGATACAACCAGTATCTTCAGTAGATATATCAAGCAGGATTATGCTGGCATAAACCTGTTAGCATTCGTTTATTAAGTGGTTTTGTAGTTTGTCCAATTTTGGATCTAACCCTTTACATAATGCAGGTTAAACTCAATGGCATGTATTCTTTTTTCTTTTCTGCAGGGGCAATTACCATTTTTTTTAATGTATATCTCACATGCTTTATGCTAATTTCCAGTCATTGGGGAACATTTTGAGAGCTCGTTACACAACTTACACTGCCGTCTTCACTCTCCAAGGTGCACACTTCAAGGCCAGGGCTTTTATGAGCCTTGTATTTACATAATTTATTTCTATATAATTTTCTCATATCTCAGTACAGTATCACATAGTTTCCTCAAAAGTAGATACTATTGGTTATCTGAATCTTGTAAAACACTGACGAAAAGTATTATTTAATGCTTCTGCTTAGTCCAAGTTCTGAGTCAACATACCGATAACTACCATCTTCTAGTCTCAAGATCTGATACACCTACACATGTCCTTAATTTTGATTTTGCAAAATTATAGATATTTGACTCGGTAATGTGCAGTGCAAATGTTTGGAAAAGAAGACTGGGAATGAATACGGGTACTGTACAATATAAGATTTGTTTGAGACAAAGGACACATGAATGGAAAATTGTGAAAGTTTCTGAGGATTATGGAGTGTACATTATACTGTGCAGGATATATGAAAGGTGCAAATAAAGAAAAAAGTTTGAAAGTTCTTTTATTATAACATGGAATATTCACATTACATTATATACAAAACATAATATGTACATGAGCATCATAGCATGGTTATGTCACACATGGTTTATAAAGTCATGAGACTTCACTCTGACAGTAAGAGAATCTTCACATGTTTACCTAACTGCAAACACTTACAATGAACAGTATCTGTAAACTTGTCAGCAAGTATTACAGTACTGTACAGTATAGGCCAAACTACAATAGCACATTATACTTGTTACAAGTACAATTTTAATTTTACAAAGTGGCTTTGTCATCAATCTCTCGATGCCTTTTCTCTGACTATAAACCTTGTGACAAAACAGATAACCCCCATCAATACTATGTTAGTTGTGATGTACATTGTGTTGTTCAATTAAGGTAGGCTAGTTTTCTGTACTATGATCTCTTGGAACACAGGCTGTGAGTATTACATTTGATAAAAATGCACCATTTCTTTGATCTCATGATTTCTGAGCTAAACGACACAAGCTTTATTCTAAGTAAATTATCTAATGGTAACTTCTTAAGTTCATTATTTTGTATAAAGAGAATACAGGTACAGGTAGATCTGAAACTCTTATTTTGAAACATTTTTTTGGTCCTTGGGACCTGATCAAGTAAATTTTACTAAAGATTTAAAAGTTACACCTGCAAACCTGATAAAATATAGGGTACTTATATTTGTTCACTGGAGATGTAGCTCTGACAATACAAAGTGTTGAGTACCTTTGCTTCTTGGGCATGTGATGTTACTATTTAACATGCCTAAGTTTTGTTTGAAGGCTGGTATCATCAAGTAGAAATAGATACATTTTCCCGTTTTATTAAAAAAAAAAAAAAAAAAATTATATATATATATATATATATATATATATATATATATATATATATATATATATATATATATATAATGAAAACGATAAGATAATCCAGTTGCCTCTGAAGATGTCTTGAATAAAGAGCGAAAGCTAAAAGGTATCCCGTTGTTCCCTTTTTCAGGTGTGATTTTATAAAGATTTATCTTATCCACGTTTCGTGTGATCTACATGAAATATATATATATATATATATATATATATATATATATATATATATATATATATATATATATATATATATATATATATATATATATATATATATATATATATATATATATATATAGAAACAATGGAGCACCTAGCTTTCGTCTTTTATTCAGTTGCCTCTGAAGATGTCTTGAAGAAGAAGGCTGAAAGCTAAGGTGCTCCATTGTTTCCCTTTTCCTGTGTGATTTTATCATTATTATATATATATATATATATATATATATATATATATATATATATATATATACATATATATATATATATACAGTATATATATATATATATATATATATATATATATATATATATATATATATATATATATATAATATAATATAATATATATAATATATATATATATATATATAATATATATATATATATATATATATATATATATATATATATATATATATATATATATATATATATATATATATATATATATACACACACATACAGTATATCTCCCTTGTAATCTTATCACTCAAGCGAAAATCCTGAGGCGAATTAGGAGCACAGGTATAGAACAGCAGTGAAGAATATCAATGTTCAAGAGAATGCAAATAACATTGGATCATAACAGATAGTTGAAAACATTTATGTTGAACATAACACAATTTACCCTCACTAATAAAAAATGAACAGGGTTTCTGTAGAATACCAGATACATCATATTATTATATAAAAAAAAATAAAAATTGCCAACTCAATAAACTTCTAGTTTGGTTTCTCATATCCATCCTCCCCACTGCATTTTTAAGTATGCATAAGTCATCAAACCTGCCCGCAGATACAATATCGTTGGGATTGGATACACGACTCCATTCCATGCTTTAGAGAAATAAATACTCGTATTCAAAATGAACTTGTATATACACAATCACATGGGTCAGGAGAATGCAACATTTGAATCTTACAACAAATTCATTCATTCAGTCTAAAACAACTGTGTAATTCTAATTGTTAGAGACTAGCACTGGGAATGAAATTCATTAAGCCAACCAAAGTAGCAAATATAATGCAATAATACAGCAAGCAATACATATTTACAAAAACGATCAGTAAAAATACTGAGGAAAGAAAAATATTCCCAACACTAATGATGTGCGATCCCCTGACAAGATCAATGCCAACACTTCCTAAAAACTCAAAAAGTTCTGTAACATAAGCATGCCAGCTTATCACAATGTTTCATTTCTTGTACACACAGAACGGAAGAGGTGGGGAAGATTTGACACATAGCGTTACCTTAAAACAGGACTGCAACTGACTAGGTATTCAAATCCTTGTCAGTGACAGCTTTAAATTGCACAAAGAAGGAGTCAAATTTAATCTGGAAAAGTTTTATTCAATCAGGGGGTGTTATAGCAACATAATGAACCAAATTTTCACTGTGAATATAAAAATGACTTCTTTAACTACCATCCCCTTCTCATGGCAAATTATCATGCTGCATGTTAATTTCTAATGCAATATTCATTTTTCATTCATTCAGATTCATGCATATGTTACAAACATACATTCTAAATGAGGGTGGGTTTAAATTGTCAGCAGTTTATCTACAAGACCATTGTTTGTTCTTTTATGTTAACTAGCCTTTTAGAACAGTTCTCCAGTCCACAAACTGCCATCACTGATGTTGAATTTAATAAAAAATGTTCATCAGTTAGCATTTTAAGCAGTGTACTCTTAAAAACTACAGTTTCTTAAGTATTTTATTTTGCATACTTTGAGGAATTTTACAAACATTTATTTATATTGTAAAAAGATAACTGGTATTTTCATAAATAATTACTGTTAATTGTTTCACTGATATGACTGCTGTTACAGAAAAAGCAAAGAGGCACTTCAAGGAGCAATACTGAAAAACTGAAACTGAAAACTTAAAAGGTACTGATTTTCTTTTGTATGCTGATGACACATCAGCAGCAACTTGTAACAAGATGAGGTTTCACACAACAAAAATGGGATGATATTAGCCACACGCACTTATGTAAAAGATTCATAAAATAACATAATATACAGTGTACAGCAGTTACCTTCATGCCAAAGCACATAATTACACACGCACACTGAAGACAACACTTACACCCTATTTATTTACCTTGTACTTTACTTGCCACTGATAGAAAATATTTTAAAAAATTACATACATGAAAGAGGTAAAGAACCTTTTTGTCTTGCCATTGATCCTAAAACACCATAATGCTAATAGGATCCCGAAAAGAATATCCTTCATGAGAAGTACGCATCTTCAAGCCTGCAAATTTACAAAGCTTCTCCTAGTAACGTGTCCTCCTGGCCTCCTGACTTGGACCAACTCCACCAGGAAGACCCTATGATATGGAACTTGAACAAACTGGAAACTAACGCATATTTACCGACTTCTACAAGCCTTGAAGATGCAAATTATCACAGATTTTCAACCGTGCTCCTGACTATAACAGAGCACAACCCCAAAATACTTTTTGCCCTGCTATGTTGCTTAGCTGGAATCATGAAAAATACCTAAAACATATTTGTTCTTCAAAGTTTAGGGCACAATGGGCATTCACTGCTTTGCAATAAAGATGTTGAGAATGTTAAACTACAATATTACACACTTGTCCCTATCAGTTTAGAAGTTGTATTTTGATATGGAAAGCATTACAAAATTTACACTGGAGGATTGCATTTCCACACACAGTACAGGTACTGTACTGTACGTTATTTGCCATTATCTAAAAGTTAATGTATTAAAGGCTTGGGAAGCACCACCACCACCTACTTTCTTGTGTTCTGTATGGATTAGGTCACTGTCAAAGAACCCTTGCTAGCCATCTACCATATGGGTATTAAATTTTTAAATAAGAAAGGGTAATTCCTTACAATTTATCTGATGACGTGGTTTGTATCACAACCCTAAAGAAATAAAGCAAAATGTTCTTACATGAAGACTTTTATTAAAAGGTCTACTTGGTAGGCCATATTCTAGGTTTACTTCCTGAAGATGCGCAGAATTAAGCTGCGCTCACTGGTACACTTGAAACCCTTGAAAGATGTGAAAGATCTCTGATAAGGGTACACTATAATAATTTTTAGGCTATGCCAACAGTCTGACACGTCCTGTTAAAGGTCTGAGAGGTAACCCTATGGACAGAGTGGGCAGCCACAACAGTGACTGGCCTGGACTGGTGGCACTCTACAGGCCAAACAAACTCGGTGTGTAAGTGGAGGTTGTGGCTGTGGCCTTGGGCGACTGTGAAAGATGGCTTGATGGCTGCACATACATGGTGGGGACGGTGTGATCACTGGGATCCCTTGGAGGATGGTCGCGGGGTGGCCGGGTTAGCCATGGGTGAGAGAGAACATCTTGGACGGCCAGGCGGCGGGCAGGGTCTCGTCGCAAGAGGTCAGTGATCAAGTGCCGGGCCCGGGAACTGACCCATTCTGGCACTTTGAATTCCCCGCATCTGATCTTCGCGAACAATGATGAGGTAACAGAGTCATGGAATGGGTACCTGAAAAAGAAATAAATAAGATCATAATTGTTCTACTTAACTGTCCTAATAAATACTAATACATGATCTGAAATCTTTGTTTTCAATCTTGTTAGTGTAAAAAATAAGTCCTGTAACTCTAGCATCTTTAAGTACAGTTCCTAGAAAATATACTTGTACTGTACCAGCTTAATACTGTACAGTACAGTACTCTCCAAATATCATAATTCATAATACTGTACTGTAGTGTTAAGACTTAATAAATTGTTTCATTTACAATGTGTGAGCCCAAATAAGTACGTAGTCTTACCTGCCGACTAGCATAGTGTAGAGCATCACGCCCAGGCCCCACATGTCGGCGGCACGGCCTGAGTAAGAGGAGAAGGTGAGGATCTCTGGTGCAACATAGGCAGGACATCCGTGCTTATCTTGCAGCCAATCCTCGTCTCCTACCAGCACACTGTCCTCTAGACTCTCCAGTTCCAGATGCTGTCTGTTGAAAGAATACACAAAGTTACACTCTGGTTTATGCATTGCAATTTCAAGAAGAAATTGAAAACAATTGTACTACTGTATATTAATTGCAACATTTACTGTAAATTTGTGGTAAATGCTCCTTTGATTATGTATCACTAAAAGGCAAAGCTAATAGGATAATAACCTAATCTACTAAGTACATGATTAAAATAAATGATATAATGGTCCTCTGAGCACTACAGTAGGGCAACTCAGGTACTGTACTACACAACATATTTCTTCTAATTCAATGATATCCCAAAATTAAACCAGACAGTCAATAGAAGAATATTTATTTAACAAGAAACTAGTCACCATAGAGAAGCTCCCACCCCAACATTCTCCAATCTAAAAGAAATAATCGAGATTTCTTTCCCAACACCCTGGATCCTTAATTCTCACACACACACACACCCCCGAGGACAGTCACTATACCATGTGAACACCACACCACCCGATATCTCCATGACCACATGAGGTCCTTCATATCAACACCGACGGACGAGTTACTGCACCACGTGATCACCACACCACCCGGTGTCTCCATGACCACGTGAGGTCTTTCTTATCAACACCTACGGACGAGTTACTGCATCAAGTGGCCTTCGTGACATCACACAGTATGGCAAGAGACCAGTCCGGGCCATCAACTGTAAACTATAATAATTTGTGTGTTCAAATCATGTTCCTTCTCCTTGAGTATAGAGACAGGTTAAAGCATCTTAATTTGCACTCCCTCGAGAGACGTAGCGCGAGGGGCGACCTGATAGAGGTGTATAAGTGAAAGGCAGGGCTAAACAAAGGGGACATTACACAGGTACTCAAATTATCCAACCAGGAGCGAACTCGTAACAATGGTTTAAAATTAGACAAATTTAGATTTAGGCGTGAAATAGGTAAACACTGGTTTGGAAACAGAGTAGTGGATGAATGGAACAAGTTACCAAATATCATCATTAACTCGAATACGCTGAATAGCTTCAAACATAGGTTGGATGCTTATATGAGCAATAGGGGTTGGGTGTAAACGGGACTGCCCAGTATGGGCCAATAGGTCCGCTGCAGTTTCCTCCATTCTTATGTTCTTATGAAAGCTTTTGTTAAACGACCCACCTACCCATGTCATTGCATGTAATAAGATAATTTTTGTCTAATAAACCGTTAATTATTATTATTACACACACGCGCTACGTACATTATATAATAGACAATACGTGAACACCCTACACTAAGTAAAGATTAGTCAAGATAATGAGGGGCAGTTTAAATAGAATTTCCACGGTCACAATCACAACAAAATGTTACCCTATGGGTTCAAAAGTTTACAGCAACGAGTGAATAATGCCAGCCGCATCCATGGCCAGAACAAGGAGCCCCCCCCCCTTCCCTTTTACGATGGAGATATTCATACCCGTAGCTTATTTGTAGATCAACATGTAACAATCTATACCATGGCCATATTAGTGTGGATAAAAAAAAAGGAACATTAAATGGTGCTGACAACAAAATTACACAAAAAATGATGCACACGATTTTTTTTTATGTTTTTTCCTGATTTTCCCCGTATTAGCGAACCGTTTTAACCCTTACCACTTTTAAGCTTAACCTCTGGCGTTGGATATCCGGCGCTACTCCAAGTTAATCGATGTAAATATGATACAAAGTTCTAGAGAGTGGGGGGGGGGGGGGTATAGTATAGCAGGTTACAAACAAAATTGTCAGTCCGCCTTAATGCATTTTCTAACCATCATTTTATAAGTGGTGATGGAAATAAGTTATTAATAATATACCCAGCGACCAACAGTTGAATAGAGTGCTTTTTCCAGTCAGCCACCCACTTCTGATGCCAATTTCTGTACGTGTAACTTCACCAAAGTTATTTTAATCCATTTTAGTGACGCCCGGAGTACAATTTATCCTTATGAATCTGGATCTAATTCTGATGCAACTTTATTTGGAGGAAGATAAGGTAGATGGGACTGTGAGTACCATTCATTTTTATGTTCTGTGTGTGTGTGTGTGTGTGTGTGTGTGTGTGTGTATCTCCCAGTCTTGTGACAGTGTGTGTGTGTGTGTGTGTCGTAGCAGTGTTGCAGTCATATGGTCTAATGGGCATTTCCTGGTCTCCTCACCAGCCTTGGTTACTTTGGCAATCAACAAACATCCATTCATGTAAGTTTTATTTCACTTTGTTTGGTTTTGTTAATTGCAAAATACGATTTTTTCTTCAAAATTACAAGTGATTACGCACCTCAAGTTTACTATTATCCTGTACTTACATGCACGTGAATTCCAATGAAAAATAAAAACTACCTAAATTACGATCAATTGGAAAACTGATGCAATTTACGTAAATATCTAATTATGAGATACACATTACGATACAACACTCTTTCTATTTAAAACATTCCAGTGGCAAGTATCACCTACGGCCTACGCTACAGGTGTGGTCAGGTTAGTCCCAACCTCCCCTGGCGACGCTGCACTCGGGAAACCTGCCAGTCGCGCAATCGTTCACATCCGCGTCGCCGAGTGTGTGACGCAACGTGACGTTACCTTGGCTACGTGGCCGTGACATCCATATTATGCGCAATGGTAATTATTGTGGCTGCCTTGCAAATTCTCTCCACCCCCTCCCTCGCCTCCTCCGTGGGAACGACAATGTCGACCTCCGGGCGAACTGTTGAGCTATGACAAGAAATATGAGTAACTAGTGGGTGCGGCGGCGTGAGTGAACTGTGATAAACACCGCAGGCTGTGGTCTGAGCTGGTAGCGTTGCTAAGTGTAAGGGTGTATGCTGTTATACAAGACACATTTCCCGCTATTTCTTACGGCAGCTAACTTAAGCATCACATACTTAAAAAAAAAAACACACACACAGGCGTTAGTGTAATATTTCACTAGTCACCAAAAATGATGTTGGTTCATGAATCATATTGGATGTTTCTTACGACTTACTACTTGAAGATATTGTTAATTCCTAGAGACTGCATTTGAACTCAAACTGACTTATTTAGTCAAGAATCTTGAGCTCTCTCAGCAAAAATACAAAATTGTGAAGTTCAAGATTACAGAGTGGAATCTCCTGCACAAGGATGTTCATGTTCGACTTCTGAAAACGTAGAGTTTTATCAAGTTCTTAACTGTGGAGCAGTTCAGTGCATTACTGCTGAGGTTTGATGGTCTCTTAGATGCACCAGATCATAAGGCTGATCCATCCGAGAAGTCTTTTTTATTGACAACTCCAAAACCAGTTTGAAAGCTGTTCTTTAAAATGGAAATCAGATACCTAGCATACCTAGGGCTCACCCAGTTCATCTAAATGGAGTCCACTTGAGAATATGGTAGTGGTGCTTAAATCTATCTAATAAGCTGAATTTCAATGACATGCGGATTTATAGGCCTACTCAAGGGTACACAAGATGGCTTTAAATATTTTTCGTTTCTTGTGTGGACCAACCGTGCTGAAAAAGCACAATTGTCAGAGCATTGACTAGGCTCGATGTGATAATTGTATTCACGGTAAGAAGAGGCTGCAACACGAAACACTTTAGATCTCGCAGTATGTGTACTTACCAACATGGTACACCAAGCAAGTGTTAATGAAAAACTTTATTAACGCAATTCTTAAAGATGGGGAATAGTTCAAGTACATTAGTCAGAAATTCCCAACACAAAAAACGCTAAATTGAAGAAAGATTTTCATGGGAGCGCAAATTCGTGAAGGGCTGCAGCGTTATACATCTGGTGAATACAAACGGAAATCCAAGACTTTCTTTTAGTATCGTCATTTAAGTCAGAATTGGTTATACTCGTCAAAGACCACTCAGAATGTCTATGTAATTTACACAAATACAAAACTTACTATGTAAGATAATATTTTTATTATTATTTTTTTATAAACAAAAACTTTAGATTCATACTCAATATACTTACATCTACTAAATACAAGTATTTTGTTTCTGAGTCAGATGAAAAGTTTAAATTTGTTGACCAGTGTTATCATTTTAGGTAACCAGTTCTTGAGGAGGCTCTAAGCACGACACAAACTCTACACTTGGATCTACAGTAACAATAGATGAACTGTAATCTAGCAATACCTACGAATGTTGACACGGCGCCTCGCCCACAATGTAAAGGGTTTGATAATGCATCATAAAGACCTCACATTAGCCAACCAAGGTCTTGGCTAATATCACGTCACAATAACACCGGGGTTGCGAACTCCCTCAATAGTGTACCCCTCCTCTCCCACCTTCCCCGTCCCCTCTCCTCCCCATGGTGTGACAGACACGCCCAACCAGCCAGCGCGACCTTCAAGTAGGAGAGGGCGGTCGGGTGGGCGGCGGGGAGGGTGGCGTGAACGGCGACCAGCGGGCCCTGGCTTGATCAATACCAGGTCTTGGCTACTTCACTGGTGTAAATACGAGGCTGGGCCTAGCCATTTTTACCACCTCTACTGTTATCAGAGACGCCGGTACCACAGCTCCTGCACTTTCTAATGCTCTTCTTTCAGTTTTAATTTTTTAAACTGAATTTTCAAATGTTCATTTTGCCAAGACACCTGTAAAAATATCCTATTACAACTGATAAAACGGAAGTGTGAAAAACAGTGACAAGACAATCCACTAAGCTAGGCTCAAAATTTCAACATTTGTTGCGCGGGATGACGGAACAAAATACCTCCAGACAATTTCCCACTGGAAAATCCCATTAAAATGGCAGGCAACAAAACCACACTAGTTCACATTTCTACAAGCATTAATGACTTGTTCGGTTACACGGGATTTTGACCTACAACCCTCACAGCCACCATCACCAACAAGCCTGACCCTGACCAAGCTCACGTAATATAAGTTTTACAACTCCTGAAGACTGTGTAACCAATTACAGTTGTTTTCAGTTGCTAATGACGTTAATTCCTAGTAGGCGAATTTAGGCGCAAACTTTTAAAAGAATGTCGTAAGAGCTGTTGT